GCTTGGCTGTGTCATCCCCAGCACACCAGCTGTGCTGCTGGCCGTGTCATCCCCAGCACACCAGCTGTGCTGCTGGCCGTGTCATCCCCAGCACACCAGCTGTGCTGCTGGCCGTATTATCCCCAGCACACCAGCTGTGCTGCTGGCCGTGTCATCCCCAGCAGACCAGCTGTGCTGCTGGCTGTGTCATCCCCAGCACACCAGCTGTGCTGCTGGCTGTGTCATCCCCAGCACACCAGCTGTGCTGCTGGCTGTGTCATCCCCAGCAGACCAGCTGTGCTGCTGGCCGTCATCCCCAGCAGACCAGCTGTGCTGCTGGCTGTGTCATCCCCAGCAGACCAGCTGTGCTGCTGGCTGTGTCATCCCCAGCACACCAGCTGTGCTGCTGGCTGTGTCATCCCCAGCAGACCAGCTGTGCTGCTGGCCGTATCATCCCCAGCAGACCAGCTGTGCTGCTGGCTGTGTCATCCCCAGCAGACCAGCTGTGCTGCTGGCTGTGTCATCCCCAGCACACCAGCTGTGCTGCTGGCTGTGTCATCCCAGCAGACCAGCTGTGCTGCTGGCTGTGTCATCCCCAGCACACCAGCTGTGCTGCTGGCTGTGTCATCCCCAGCACACCAGCTGTGCTGCTGGCCGTCATCCCCAGCAGACCAGCTGTGCTGCTGGCTGTGTCATCCCCAGCAGACCAGCTGTGCTGCTGGCTGTGTCATCCCCAGCACACCAGCTGTGCTGCTGGCTGTGTCATCCCCAGCAGACCAGCTGTGCTGCTGGCCGTATCATCCCAGCAGACCAGCTGTGCTGCTGGCTGTGTCATCCCCAGCAGACCAGCTGTGCTGCTGGCTGTGTCATCCCCAGCAGACCAGCTGTGCTGCTGGCCGTATCATCCCCAGCAGACCAGCTGTGCTGCTGGCTGTGTCATCCCCAGCAGACCAGCTGTGCTGCTGGCTGTGTCATCCCCAGCAGACCAGCTGTGCTGCTGGCCGTGTCATCCCCAGCAGACCAGCTGTGCTGCTGGCTGTGTCATCCCCAGCAGACCAGCTGTGCTGCTGGCTGTGTCATCCCCAGCACACCAGCTGTGCTGCTGCCCGTCATCCCCAGCAGACCAGCTGTGCTGCTGGCCGTATCATCCCCAGCAGACCAGCTGTGCTGCTGGCCGTGTCATCCCCAGCAGACCAGCTGTGCTGCTGGCCGTCATTCCCAGCAGACCAGCTGTGCTGCTGGCCGTCATCCCCAGCAGACCAGCTGTGCTGCTGGCCGTCATCCCCAGCAGACCAGCTGTGCTGCTGGCCGTCATCCCCAGCAGACCAGCTGTGCTGCTGACCGTGTCATCCCCAGCAGACCAGCTGTGCTGCTGGCCGTCATCCCCAGCAGACCAGCTGTGCTGCTGGCCGTCATCCCTAGCAGACCAGCTGTGCTGCTGGCCGTGTCATCCCCAGCAGACCAGCTGTGCTGCTGACCGTGTCATCCCCAGCAGACCAGCTGTGCTGCTGGCCGTGTCATCCCCAGCAGACCAGCTGTGCTGCTGGCCGTGTCATCCCCAGCAGACACTCGTTGTTTTGGTGGCGTGATCCCTGGGACGGGTATTATTGGTACAGATCAATTCCTCACCTCCCTTCCCATCTATGTAATGTATATTGCTGTTATGTATCATAATTATGTAACTGTATTTGTGTACCTGTTCCTGAATAATCTTACTGAGCCAGAAATGACGGAATCTTCTCCATTTACATAAGATCAGATTACCACTTCCTACCATGGATGAACACCAATATATCTTGAAAATACCATAGCATGGGTGGGGATTGAACTCGCGGCAAGTGAGTCGTATAACTCCAGACCAGTGGGTAAGCCACTGAGCCAGTTGGCTACAATAAGATTCATTCAACTAGATATACTTATACACCATAGGGAGGTTAGCATGGGCCACCACTGTGACCACAAATGCAAGTTTTTACAGATGACTCTCCCGCCAGCGTGGCCGTGGTGAACTCTAGCTCAAGTCCCACCCGTACCGTGGTTTCTTGCAATCGTGTCATTACGATTTCGTGAGTCGTGACACCTTCATCACATCTTAAGGAGACGTCCTGGATTAAGCAACGTCTCTCATGATCTCACTTGAACTAAAGGCGCCCTTTTATTTTTGTTATTTAATTAAATTTTATTTTTCCATTATTATTTTCCCCTCAGTTATTTAATTATTTCTTTTTCCATATTTTGGATCAGTGGGTAGGCGTTCCCCTGACGCTAGGATAACAGTGACATCCTAGGATAACCTAGTGACATCCCAGGATAACAGTAGCATGCTAGGATAACAATATACCTCCAAGATAACATACATAGTAAATTCTGCATCACCGCAGACTAAAATACTAGTTATTTTGGACTAAAACTCAGGGACTGATCACCTCAAACTACTGTTGTACGTCTCCCCGCCGTTCGACAGATGAATACAGTAAGAATAGCGAGTCTTGCCCATGTGCTCCTCCATCATGTTTTTATAATAGGTTAGTGTGTTTGACTTTGACAAGAACCTGCCAAGTATGGGCCAGTAGGCCTGCTGCAGTGTTCCTCCCTGCTTACGTTCAATCTCATCTCTTTAATTATATATAATTTATTTTTTCGGGTTCCTGGACACGTAGTGGTTCACATGTGTTGAGTAACATTCACCTGGACACATAGCGGTTCACATGTGTTGAGTAACATTCACCTGGACACATAGTGGTTCACATGTGTTGAGTAACATTCACCTGGACACATAGCGGTTCACATGTGTTGAGTAACATTCACCTGGACACATAGTGGTTCACATGTGTTGAGTAACATTCACCTGGACACATAGTGGTTCACATGTGTTGAGTAACATTCACCTGGACACATAGTGGTTCACATGTGTTGAGTAACATTCACCTGGACACATAGCGGTTCACATGTGTTGAGTAACATTCACCTGGACACATAGTGGTTCACATGTGTTGAGTAACATTCACCTGGACACATAGCGGTTCACATGTGTTGAGTAACATTCACCTGGACACATAGTGGTTCACATGTGTTGAGTAACATTCACCTGGACACATAGTGGTTCACATGTGTTGAGTAACATTCACCTGGACACATAGTGGTTCACATGTGTTGAGTAACATTCACCTGGACACATAGGGTTCACATGTGTTGAGTAACATTCACCTGGACACATAGTGGTTCACATGTGTTGAGTAACATTCACCTGGACACATAGTGGTTCACATGTGTTGAGTAACATTCACCTGGACACATAGTGGTTCACATGTGTTGAGTAACATTCACCTGGACACGTAGTGGTTCACATGTGTTGAGTAACATTCACCTGGACACATAGTGGTTCACATGTGTTGAGTAACATTCACCTGGACAACTAGTGGTTCACATGTGTTGAGTAACATTCACCTGGACACGTAGTGGTTCACATGTGTTGAGTAACATTCACCTGGGCAACTAGTGGTTCACATGTGTTGAGTAACATTCACCTGGACAACTAGTGGTTCACATGTGTTGAGTAACATTCACCTGGACAACTAGTGGTTCACATGTGTTGAGTAACATTCACCTGGGCAACTAGTGGTTCACATGTGTTGAGTAACATTCACCTGGACAACTAGTGGTTCACATGTGTTGAGTAACATTCACCTGGACAACTAGTGGTTCACATGTGTTGAGTAACATTCACCTGGGCAACTAGTGGTTCACATGTGTTGAGTAACATTCACCTGGGCAACTAGTGGTTCACATGTGTTGAGTAACATTCACCTGGACAATAGTGGTTCACATGTGTTGAGTAACATTCACCTGGACACGTAGTGGTTCACATGTGTTGAGTAACATTCACCTGGACACGTAGTGGTTCACATGTGTTGAGTAACATTCACCTGGGCAACTAGTGGTTCACATGTGTTGAGTAACATTCACCTGGACAACTAGTGGTTCACATGTGTTAAGTAACATTCACCTGGACACGTAGTGGTTCACATGTGTTGAGTAACATTCACCTGGACACATAGTGGTTCACATGTGTTGAGTAACATTCACCTGGACACATAGTGGTTCACATGTGTTGAGTAACATTCACCTGGACACATAGTGGTTCACATGTGTTGAGTAACATTCACCTGGACACGTAGTGGTTCACATGTGTTGAGTAACATTCACCTGGACACGTAGTGGTTCACATGTGTTGAGTAACACTCACCTGGACAACTAGTAGTTCACATGTATTGAGTAACTCACCTGGCCACCTAGTGGTTCATATTTGTTGAGTAACACTCACCTGGACAACTAGTGGTTCATCTGTGTTATGTAACACCTGGGCACCAAGTGGTTCGCCTGTCTTTTGTAACACTCACCTGGGCACCTAGTATTTCATTTGTGCTATATAACACTCCCTGGGTACGACAGGTGTTAACTAACACCTGTCGTGTTACACATGGTGCTGTAATGAGTGTCTATTACGAGAACCTATCCCACACAGGTGAACTATCCTGTGTGTGTGTGTAAGAGAGTTACCACCTAGTGTACCATAAGGCAGGTTCTTCTGAGTGTGTAGCGTCAGCGGTAGTAAACGAACCTATCCAGACTAACAAAAGTCTCTTACTGAACCCGACCAGGCTGGTACAAGACACAAAGTGAACCCGACCAGACTGACACAAAACACTAACTGAACCCGACCAGACTGACACAAGATACTAAGTGAACCTGACCTGAATGCTCTCGGGAAGATCTGAACCCATCACCTGCCACTCTGACGTGGAATTCAGAGTTCTGGTGAAATCTGCCAGGAATCAGCACTTACCTGAGTGTGAGTGTATCAGGATCACCTGGACACAAGACTCACCTAAGTGTGAGTGTATCAGGGCCACCTGAACACGAAACTCACCTGAGTATGTGTGAGTGTATCAGGGCCACCTGGACACAAGACTCACCTTGTGTGTGTGTGTGTATCAGGGCCACCTGAACACGAGACTCACCTGAGTGTGAGTATCTAAGGCTGTGTCTTGGACCGGTAACCTGGAGAGAGTGGATGACCGGCTGGAGTGCTGCCGTATATATAACCTGACGCCCCACACCCCTCCACCGGCGCACAACAGTACGCGCAGGTAACATCGCTCACTTTTACAAAATTCACTCACCTTAACTATAGTTATTTTTTTTGTGGTTTTGAAGGAGTTAAGAGGAGCAGTTTTATTTTGAAGCGGTGAAGGGGCTGTCAAGTACCACCATCTGGCATGTGAGCGCCCATCTGCCAGGTGGTGGTACTTGACAGCTGGTCCAGTTGCTGGTGTTTTCTGAGCCGGTGTTCTTTGACGGGTGTTCTCAACCATGTATCAAAAAGTCCTGTCAACCAGCTGTAAAAAAGCTGTCAACCAGCTGTGAGAGAGCTCTTGTCAACCAGCTGTCTCACGAGTGTCAAGAGTGTCCTGGGAGTGTTAAGAGTGTCCTGGGAGTGCCAAGAGCGTCCTGAGAGTGTCAAGAGTGTCCTGAGAGTGTTAAGAGTGTCAGGAGTGTCCCGAGAGTGTCAAGAGTGTCTTTAGAGTGTCAAGAGTGTCCTCAGAGTGTCAAGAGTGCCAGGAATGTCCTGAGAGTGTTAAGAGTGTCCTGAGAGTGTCAAGAGTGTCAAGAGTGCCCTGTGAGTGTCCTGTGAGTGTCCTGAGAGTGTCATGAGTGTCCTGAAAGTGTCAAGAGTGCCCTGAGAGTGTCAAGAATATTCTGAGAGTGTCAAGAGTGTCCTGAGAGTGTCCAAGAGTGTCCTGAGAGTGTCAAGTGTGTTCTGAGAGTGTCAAGAATATTCTGAGAGTGTCATGAGTGTCCAAGAGTGTCCTGAGAGTGTCAAGAGTGTTCTGAGAGTGTCAAGAATATTCTGAGTGTCATGAGTGTCCTGAGAGTGTCCAAGAGTGTCCTGAGAGTGTCATGAGTGTCCTGAAAGTGTCAAGAGTGTCCTGAGAGTGTCAAGAGTGTTCTGAGAGTGTCAAGAATATTCTGAGAGTGTCATGAGTGTCCTGAGAGTGTCCAAGAGTGTTCTGAGAGTGTCAAGAGTGTCAAGAATATTCTGAGAGTGTCAAGAGTGTCCTGAGAGTGTCAAGAGTGTCCTGAGAGTGTCAAGAGTGTCCTGAGAGTGTCAAGAGTATCCTGAGAGTGTCAGGAGTGTCCAAGAGTGAATTACTGTGACTGTGAGTAAGTGGTGGTCAGCGTCGATTAAGGGTCATTGTGCAGATTATTGAGGTCATATCACTGATCGATCTACTACGTTCTTATTAGACACACACAGCATACACACGACACACACTACACACACACCACCACTCACACACACACACACACACCACACACACCACACACACACACATCACCATACCAAGGAGCTGTGACGACCCCCTGCACTACGAATAGATGAATCACAAGTATACATAACGTATACCATATTCATAAGCCACTATAGTCATGCTTGACGATGAGAGGAGAGAAAGAGAAGAGAGATAGAGAGAGAGAGAGCAGTGAGACAGATGAGAGAGAAGAGATGATGAAGTAGATAGAGGAGAGATGAAGGAAGGAAGAGAGAGAGAAGAAGAGGAGAGATGAAGAGTGAGAGAGAGATAGACAGCAGATGTAGACAGACAAGGAGACCGGAGCCAGCAGATGCAGCCACCGAGTGCATCACCAGTGTCATCCACCAGTGTATCTACCAGTACAATCCGGTTCACCCCAGTCACACATGAACAAATTCACTACATTGCACCAAGCGGTGAAAGTCAAGTCACAATGGTTACAGTGAGTAGGTGTCACAGGGTAGTCCAGTGGGTGTCCACAGTGTATCACCAGTGTCAGTCAATGTAATCACAGTGGTATCCACATGGTCATCACAGTGTCAAGGTAGGATGGATGTATCAAGTGGGTATAGCATGTGTATCAATGTGCATCACGGTACATGGTCATCACGGTGGGTAGGATGGTCATAAGTGGGTGGTACGACCAGTGTCATCACAGTGGGTCAGGATGATATACAGTGTCGGGATACCGGATGGTATACAGTGTCGGTACGGTGATATCACAGTGGTCATGTAGCATGGTCATCCAAGTGGTAGGTCCACCGAGTGGATATCACAGTGTAGGGTCAAGATGGCATCAGTGTATGGTGTAATGTGTCATCACCATGTCTCACCAGTGTCATCCACCAGTGTCATCCACCGGTGACATCCACCAGTGTCATCACCGTGCACCACCAGTGTCATCCACCAGTGTCACCCTGCATCCACCAGTGTCATCCACAGTGTCATCCACCGTGTCATCCACCAGTGTCATCCACCAGTGTCATCCACCAGTGTCATCCACCAGTGTCATCATCACACCGGTGTCATCCACCAGTGTCATCCACCAGTGTCATCCACCAGTGTCATCCACCAGTGTCATCCACCAGTGTCATCCACCGGTGTCATTCCACCAGTGTCCACCTGTCATCCACCAGTGTCATCCACCGTGTCATCCACCAGTGTCATCCACCAGTGTCATCCACCAGTGTCATCCACCAGTGTCATCCACCACCAAGTGTCATCCACCAGTGTCATCCACCAGTGTCATCCACCAGTGTCATCCACCAGTTCTCCTGTCATCCACCAGTGTCATCCACCAGTGTCATCCACCAGTGTCATCCACCAGTGTCATCCACCAGTGTCATCCACCAGTGTCCATCCACCCGGTGTCATCCACCAGTGTCCCATCTCACCAGTGTCATCCACCAGTGTCATCCACCAGTGTCATCCACCAAGTGTCATCCACCAGTGTCATCCACCAGTGTCATCCACCGTGTCATCCACCGGTGTCATCCACCAGTGTCATCCACCAGTGTCATCCACCAGTGTCATCCACCAGTGTCATCCACCGGTGTCATCCACCAGTGTCATCCACCAGTGTCATCCACCGTGTCATCCACCAGTGTCATCCACCAGTGTCATCCACCAGTGTCATCCACCAGTGTCATCCACCAGTGTCATCCACCAGTGTCATCCACCAGTGTCATCCACCGTGTCATCCACCAGTGTCATCCACCGGTGTCATCCACCAGTGTCATCCACCAGTGTCATCCACCAGTTCCCCCGTGTCATCCACCAGTGTCATCCACCAGTGTCATCCACCGGTGTCATCCACCAGTGTCATCCACCAGTGTCATCCACCAGTGTCATCCACCAGTGTCATCCACCAGTGTCATCCACCGGTGTCATCCACCAGTGTCATCCACCAGTGTCATCCACCAGTGTCATCCACCAGTGTCATCCACCAGTGTCATCCACCAGTGTCATCCACCGTGTCATCCACCAGTGTCATCCACCAGTGTCATCCACCAGTGTCATCCACCAGTGTCATCCACCAGTGTCATCCACCAGTGTCATCCACCAGTGTCATCCACCGGTGTCATCCACCGGTGTCATCCACCGGTGTCATCCAGTGTCATCCACCAGTGTCATCCACCAGTGTCATCCACCAGTGTCATCCACCAGTGTCATTCACCAATGTCATCCACCAGTGTCATCCACCGGTGTCATCCACCAGTGTCATCCACCAGTGTCATCCACCAGTGTCATCCACCAGTGTCATCCACCAGTGTCATCCACCAGTGTCATCCACCATGCACCTTCATTATACACGCTTGCCATATTACCTTACTCATTAACACACTCATTAACGCACTCATTAACGCACTTATTAACGCACTCATTAGCTCTCTCATTATATTATCACATGTCATGGAGAAGCACTAAACCCGTAGGTCATAGAGAGTCACGGATGCTAATGAGGTTTAATCCAAGGAATAAGAGGACAGCTTTGAACAATTTGCATAGCATCTCCCAGGACGCTCTGTGACAAGTGGCTCCCAGAATTTAACCCCAGGAAGGGTAAAGAAGACCGGAAAGAGAGTACAGGGATGGGGGACAAAAGCTACAAACCTCCCTGGGAGAGGACCTCGGGGTGAGCATAGTTAAGAACATGTCCCCTGAGGTACACGTCAACCATATGACCGCTGCAACAATCACCAGACTGGTATATTTAAGAGTGACTTTCGGGAACATGAACAAGGGGGCATTCACGACCTTCTACATGGCATATGTCAGGCTCATCTTGGAGTATGCAGCGCCAGTATGGAACCCACATCTCTTAAAGTATATAAACTGGTAAAACTGCAAAGGTTTGCAATGAAATTAGTCCCAGAGCTGAAGGGTATGAACTATGAGGAGAGGCTAGAGGCGCTAAACCTGACGATACTAGAGGATAGAAAAACGAAAGGTAACCGCTGTCGGTTTTTGTTTCTCGCCATGGCCACTAGGCCTAGTGCTGCCATCTGGGGTAGGCCTAATTATAATAATAATCATATCTTTACTACAAGTACATGGACATGGTATACAGACCATAGCTGACATTAATGACATACTACTATATAGAAACCCCCTTGTCATGCAGAGTATTTCGGGCAAATTAGGTCAGTTTTGCCCCAGGATGCGACCCACACCAGTCCACTAATACCCAGGTACCCATTTTACTGATGGGTGAACAGGGACAGAAGGAGACTTATGGAAACACGTCCCTAATATTTTCCAGCCGTACCGGAGGAGATTCGAACTCTGGACTTCAGTGTGTGAGCTGAGTGCTAGTGATGGAACTCACTCCACGAGACCCTGGATAGTTCTCACTCACTCCAGACAACCTAGACAACCTCAGAATTACCTCGTCAGGCCTTTGCCTGGCAGGGTTAGCATCCAGCATACTGTCTTGAACGTTTATACCAATATACTTTAAGTTCGCCTCTGAAGAACTATCATTTCCTCACCAGATACTACAATCAATAAATCAATATATCTGGTGACAGCGGTAAAAACCATATCAAGACATATTTGGCGATATCGATGTATTCAGTAGTTATGTTATGCTCAGAAAGAGAGAGAGAGAGAGAGAGAAAGAGAGAGAGAAGAAGGAAGATGGAAGTCACCGCTCATCGCCCCACACAAGCAGAATCCGTCTAC